AGAGGTCGAGAGGTCTATGACTCGTACCTAGAAGGAGTTCTGTAGAATTCCGCACTTCCTCTTATTCATACAGCACTCCTGAAAGCCTCAGATAGTTCTCACTTTTGTTCTACCTGCAGTATATGGTCTGTATGGTCTGTACTTTAACCTTGGCTCTCAATTTACTGTTCTTTTTCTGCGTAAAAGAGAGCAGTTACTTTCTCCAGTCCCCACCACCCACAACAAAAGATGGGCAAAAATGTAGTGATTCTGTGCATACACAGTATACAAGTAGGCATTCAAGTAAAGAGTTTTTTAAAATATTTAAATGTGAAGTTTTAAAATAAATAAATGTGTAGTTTTGGTGCCATTTTGTTTTATCAGGAGAAGCACCTTTACTTTTTGCCAGAGCCCTTCAAATGTTCTTTGAAGCAAACTGAAGCGTTTTTATAGTTTATAAGAAGATAGTTGAAAACAGATACACGTAGCATGACCAAGTCCTACAGAGAAAGATCACATCTCCTTCAGCTGTGGTTATGTTCCAAATCCCAGAGGGCTATGTAGTGAGCTTACTGCAACTGACCAGAGAGGCGAGGCACTTGACAGTTACATTAAGGAGCTAAAGTCAATGCAGCAGTTGTAGATTTGCTAATGCCACTGTATTTTTCTGCTCATAGCATGGACCCATTCATATGACTAATTTAGGTACAGGCTTCTCCAGTCAGAATGAGATTGAAGGTGCAGGATCGAAGCCGGCAAGTTCCTCAGGCAAAGAGCGAGAGAGGGACAGGTAAGTCAGTTGGAGCATAATTACATGAATGTATTCAGATGTCATCGGTTTACACCATTAGTGTGAATGACGATCATTGCTATGAGCTTCCGTGTTCTAAAACTGTAATGAAGGGGCACCTGGGTGGCTCAGTCTGTTGAGCATCCGACTCTTGATCTCAGCCCAGGTCTTGATCTCAGGGTCGTGAGTTCACTCCTCACATTGGGCTGCATGCTGGGTGTGGAACCTACATTTAAAAAAAAAATTGATAAATCAAAGTGTAATGAAATCCTTTGGCTCAAATAAACTTTTTTTTTTTTTTTTTTATAACTGCTACACTAGGCTGCCCCTTTCACAGTCGAGAGGCAGTTACCCTGGGCTTTGAGTCATTCCATTCTTGCTTATCGGGCATCTTCCTCTACTTCACTGTCCACATCTTGGCCATTTTCCTGAGCGTAGGCAGTGACTGAAGTCTTACACAAGCTGTGTTTGCTACTTAGGATCCTAGAATATTGGGGCTCCTGGGTGGCTCAGTCGGTTGAACATCTGCCTTCGGCTCAGGTCATGATCCTGGGGTCCTGGGATCGAGCCCCACATCAGGCTCCCTGCTCAGCGGGGAGTCTGCTGCTTCCTCGCCCTCTGCCCCTCTCCCCCCGGCCCGTGTTCTCTCTCTCTCTCTCAAGTAAATGTTTATTTAAAAAAAAAAAAAAAGAATTCTAGAATATTATCCTAGAATATTATGGACTAAGGTACTTGAACGGGGGGGTCTAGCTGCCATCCCTCTTCTGTGTGGTTCTTTGAGCCTTCCTAGGACAGGACTAGCCTCCCACAGCAGTGTTCTACTTTTGGCCTGGCCTGGCTAACAGCTTGGCACCTTACAACCTGCTAGTAGCTCGAAGCGGGGCTTAGGTGGAAAGGGTGGAGGTGAACGGTTGACTGTCCGCTGGAGAAGGTACAATTGATTGGATCTGTCTGAAAGGCTGTCATGGTTTTTCTTCTAACAGGCAGTTGATGCCTCCACCAGCCTTCCCAGTGACTGGAATGAAAGCAGAGTCTGATGACAGGAATGGGTCTGGGGCCGGAGCAGGGGGCCACGGTGAGTGACGTGGAGCTGGGGACACGAGGGCAGCTAAGACTGGTCCTAAGTTACTAGTTTTCTGACCTGATGTTCGTTCAGGTGGCACTCAGTCAGCTGTTTAATCCAACTTCTAAAATCTACAGGCTAAGGAGGATACCTTTTTTTTTTTAATAAGGCAGCATATAGTTACATGTGCTTTTATTTTCAATCGAAGTGTGTCTAGAAAAGTTAGTCAACTTACATTTTATACATAGCATCATTCAAACCCTAGGAAATATTAATGATTGGTAGGTCGTTTCAAAATTTTGTTGCCTTTGTTGTCTGAATACCTGGAGGTAATCTGATAGAGACTTAAGGGTTGATATTTCGGGATGCCCGGCTGGCTCAGTCGGTGGAGCATTCAACTCTTGATCTCGGGTCATGAGTTCAAGCCCCATGTTGGGCGTAGAGCCTACTTTAAAAAAAGATTGATTTTTCTTTGTACTGGGAGCCGAGCTGCATCTCTCTGCATAGTTCTTTTGGTTATGAATGGTCAGCCTGTGGCTGTTAAAAAAGTGTTGCCTCCTAGTATCCCAGAATTTAGAGGAATATGGGATCACTTGTGTTCTTTGCCTGTAGTCCTAATAAAGATGAACAGAAGAAAATACATTTTTTTCTTTTCTTAACTTCTTTTCTTTTAACTCTTTAAAAGGTGAAATATCAGTCTCCAGAGACTCACTTGCTAACTTTCCTTTTTTTTCTTTTTTCTTTTTTTTTTTTTTTTT